GACACGGATGCTCCAGGCAGACCACCACTCTCCTAAGGCGCGCTTTGGGATTAGTAGGGCACTCCTTTGTCTTTTCATGACGTTTCCAAAAGAAGACACTGTGACTCTGACAGAGGTGACCTGCACTTCTCTCCTCCCAACCCAGGGCAAGCACCACGACCCCTCTGTGCAAACCATTAGCGTTTCAGGATCTCAAAAAAACCTTACAGGGTACATGGCATTTCCTAGGACTAATGGAAACAGACTAAAAACAAAAACACAGAACCACAGCTTTTCAGACCTGCTAACATGGTTAGCTGCTGGAAACAGGCACTGACTTCTCCTCCACCAAGTGGAATAAACATTTAGATGTCTTTTGCCATCTTAGACATTTTAACATATTTGTACTCGGGCAAAAAGCCCTGTATTTATTGCACTGCCCCCAAAATTACTTAAGATCTGTTTTAATGCTGTGCCCTGTTTTCCTGGCGGTCAATGGCTTGAGCACCCTCTTGAGCTCACTTTGCTCGCTCTGTTCTCTCATTTTGTTTTCTGCTTCCCTCTCCTCTCAAAACTCTCAGGCCTTTATTTTTGTTGGTCCTAACAGCTGGTCCCCTTCCCTTCCCATCTGTCGCTATCATCTATTTTCAGGTTATGGCTCAGGCCCACCTCCTCCTCCAGGAGAACATCTATGTATTCCCCGATGGCTGAGAAACATGCTTATCGTCTAATGTCATTTTCCAGATCGGTAACGCGTAACATTAATAATGACACTCATAATTTTCTGGAAATAAGCCAAAGGCTCTAAGCTTAGATTGAAGGGCAAAATGGTATAATACAAAGTCAGCATTTGCTGTTACTATGAAATATGTAAGAGTTGGCTAATTTTATTTCTTTGTCTATACACAAGTAGGTCCTTAAAATGATGAACTTACAAATAGTCATCTCAGAGTGGCAATTTTTGTCGGCGAATGGCTTAACGTCACAAGTAGTGGGTTGGTCACTGCCTGTGAACGATCTGGTTTCTGAGCTGCAGAGCGTGTGGACTCCCTCTCAACAACCCACACAGTTGTGCTTCACTGTATTCACACCCAACACAACACATGCAAAGAGGGTGCGTCAGATTCAGACAATATATTCCATTGAATTCAGACTCAAGTTCAACTCATCCTTCTAATGAATAAGAAGATTCAAAGATGACAAGAAAACATCCCACACAGTCTATGGGCCACGGGATGATGAACTTTCATTTTATTGATTTTCAATACCCAAGTGTGCTAATTAAGGCTGCCACATTACAGCAAGTGACATGACACGTCAAGGACCTTCCAAGAGAATTACTCTTACTTTGGATGGAAGACATCACTTAAACAAAAAACGTTTAAAGATGCTCCCTTGCTTTTTATAATTCCTAACTATAAAACAGAATTTTAGTACAGAACAAAAGATTCTCCTTGGTTGGTCACATCATTCATTATTGAAAGGGAAACTCAGTATCAAAAGAAACAAAACACCAAAATAAATAAATAATTTACCGAAAGGTAGTTTTGCTGCATTGCACACGACCGCACAGAATTCTAAAGCTGATTGTTTTCTTAAAAGCGTGGAAAACTCATTTGCCATTTTTAGTTTCTTGCTAAGTGATACATGCTCCTTGTAAGGAAAACTACTCTGTGTAGGCCTCAGTTTAAAATGTAAATATCTGTTCATCCAGAGTTTGTTGCTCTAGAGTGCACAGGTGCGCAAACTGGTGGTGAAAAAGGGGCCTACCCAGCCTTCAGGGTGGCTGAGCAGGGGCCCCATGTCACTGGCCTCAGCCACCAGCAGCGCCTTCACTCTGCCCAGGTCAGAAAGCACTGCCTAGAGCCAGAGCTTAGGATGAACATGGGCAAAAAACACTGGACAGGTCCATGTGTCACTCTTCTACTGTAATGTCTCCAGAGGGACTGTGGAATCTCTGAGAACATCCCCTGGAGGAGGTTTAAAAATCAGAAGCCCATGATATGGCTATGAAACATAAGCATTTACTGCTAGCGTGTTTCTACCAAGATCAAACACAATACTTTTCTTTGGCAAAGCTTTGGGTAAGTTCCTAGTCCAATTTCTTGTTTTCTTTTTTTTTTTTTTGGTTGGAGAGGGAGTTTCACTCTTGTTGCCCAGGATGCAGTGCAACTGTGTGATCTTGGCTTACTACAACCTCCACCTCCTAGGTTCAAGTGATTCTCCTGCCTCAACCTCCCGAGTAGCTGGGATTATAGGCATGCGCCACGACACCTAATTTTGTATTTTTAGTAGAGATGGGGTTTCTCCATATTGGCCAGGCTGGTTTCGAACTCCCAACCTCAGGTGATGTGCCTGCCTTGGCCTCCCAGAGTGGTGGGATTACAGGCATCAGCCACCACGCCCGGCCTCTCTTCTGCTTTCTATAACAAGTACACAGAGTTTACTGCCTTCTCGGGCCAGCTCTTGACATGAATTCTTCTCTTGAGTTAAGCTCCTCCCTGGCTTGTCTCTCACCCACCCTGTATCTTAGAGAAAGCACCTGGCTGTCTTCACCTCCATGAGACCTTCTATGGAATGTGATTTGCTGTGACTGCAGACATCTCAACACAGCATAATGAACTCCCTTGAGTGGTCTCTTTAAAAAATTTTGAGGGGCAGGTTTCTTGGTTTGTTTGAAAATTCATCTTGAAAATAATCTAGAACCAAAAATAATATGTGAAATTCTGGTGCATAAACAAATATTTTAAGATTGAAGTTTGGTTATTTCTCTGTCCATCTCTTTGTGCCCACGAATGGAAACTACGTTTCTGATTGACGAGGATGCTGCTGTCTATACCATTTTCAGCACGGTTCTCACAAAGACCAGCAAACTTCTTCTGTAAATATTTTAGTAAATACTCTAGGCTTTACAGGCTACATACAGTGTGTCTGTTGCAGATTTGTCACCTTTTTTTCTTAGATAACTGCTTAAAAACGGCAAATCTACTACTGCCTCTCCGCTGGAGGAGTGAGGTTTTCTCAGCCCTTGTTTCAGGACCGTCGAGGATGTGACTAACTCTTTTATGCCCAGAGCTGGAAGGCGGGGAGTCCCCTAACCCCCTTGGGTACCCGTCTGCCCACTTCACCCCTTTGTGGTCCCTTCCTTTCCTTCGTTTTATCTCTGCCCGCTGACCCCTAGTGGCTCTGTCCCTAGCTCCCTGAAGCCTCCACCAATGACCCATGGCTCCTCTAGGAAAAGTGGCAGGGGGGTGGCCAAGACCAACTTACTAGGTAGCCAGAAGCCGGCCCCTTTTTTTAACAGCTTTGACCAGGCGTCCCCAAACTGCGGCCCCCTGAGGCCATTTATCCGGCCCCCCACCGCACTTCAGGAAGGGGCACCTCTTTCATTGGTGGTCAGTGAGAGGAGCACAGTATGTGGCGGCCCTCCAACGGTCTGAGGGACAGTGAACTGGCCCCCTGCGTAAAAAGTGTGGGGACGCCTGGCTTTGACCATGAAGCACAAATGCGATGCAGGCAAATCCAGACAGGCAGAGCCTCCTCAGGAGCCCGGTAACAACCTGGACAACCGTGAGACCCTGCGGCTGCACAAGGCACTGCTGGACATGAACCGGCTCCAGCCTCTGCCCCTGTGACAAACCTCTGCCTGGGTTCCCAGGCTGCTGGCAACATGCTTTTAAATCTAAGTGGAAGGAGCCATGCCCCCACAGCTCTTGCCTCAAGGATTAGTTAGATGCATTTTATCTTCCAGGGACAGGTTAAGCCGCACCTCGGGCAGTTTGAGCCATACTGGGACAGAATTTCCTTAGTCTTTTCTTCTGACCCCTCAGCAGAACTGCCCCTAGTGCTCAGTCGGTGGCAATACAGGCCTTTTCTCTCCTGTTCCTTCAAGCTCTTCTAGCCTCTCTGCCCAGTACCTGGTTGCAAAGCCACTTCCATATCCTCAGTTATCTGTTATAGCAACAACCCCACTTCTGGGTACTAATCTGCTACCAACTACATGAATTTAAGTGTTCTAGAGTTAGGGAACAGCACATACTGACACCTGCATAAAACAAACTGTACCTCAAACTGTACGAGAATTCCCCAAACTTCTAAACTAATAAATAGGTGAGAAACAACCAGTCTCACATATGCCAATCCAGTTGTCCTTTTTAGATTTTGGCTTAAAATGTCAAATTTGTTTCCTTCAAAATGTGAATTCACTTCCTGTGCTGGATGCAGACTCTTCCCTTCTGGATGTACGGTGGCACCGCCAAACACAGCCTCGGCCACAGCAGTTAAGGAAGAGCACTTGGCGGGCTATGCACGGGTTCTCCCAGTACAATGAAAAGCTGAGATAACTAAGTGGGTTGGGGAAACAGCAGTTGGAAGCTGGAAGAAACTGAGGCACAATTCAGCAAAAGCACTACCGTGAACTACTGAAGAACAAGAAGTGAGTATGTGCTCTAGTTCTAATAAAACCGAAACTGGTGAAACTTCAGGAATTTTCCAATTCTTTCAAAACCAAAGTGTTCTAATGCCACTGAAATATGGAATAAGGAGAGTAATGACCTATGGTCAGGAAAAGATAACAGTAACAAGGATTTTTCTAAATAAAATGAACGAGTAAATTCTGAAGTGCGTTTTTAGAGAACCGGCGCTGCCTTCCCTCACTCTGGTTCCTTGGGATTTTTCACACACTCACACAAAGCTCTGGTCCACAGTTCACTCTCACTTTTATAACTGGTTATCTCCTGGTGCCTCTATTTCTCTGTTTGGGATACAAATGATTTAAAAAATTTAACTCTGTAAAGAAAACATATACAGTAACAGACCTGAACAATAAATACAAAATAAACGTCACCTTCTTCAGGTTAGAGCTTTCAAGCTAGAGAGAAAAGAGGATTCTCATTTCAGGCAGTAAGTTTTTTGGTTCTATAAAAGCATCACTATTCAGTCCCCTCTCCTCTGAGAGAATGCGTCTTTCCACGTCCCTCCGGTATCAAAGTGCATTTGTTTAAATTTAACATTCCTTAAAGAAACCCCAGAAATCTCATTTATTTTTGGCAGATATCCTATGCAGCAAAAATCAAGTGAATTTCCCTCTTCCCCACTCCTCAATTTAAAGCTTTACCTAAAGTGGCCAAACACAGTACTTCTAGTCAGCAGGGCTTACAAACAATGGATTTTGTTTTTCTTTAGAGGAACAAAAAAGGGAAAGAAAAAACAAAACCAGAGGAAAAGAAAGAGGAGAAACCCTGAGGCAAAAATGGCTTTTCCTTTCGTGTCTTCGTGGAGCTGTGAGCCGGATCACAAGGTCCCGGCCGGGTTCTGGGCGGGAAGACCCTCCTCCATCCAGAGGGTGGCGGCCGAGCTGCTCCGGAGAGTGCGCCGGTGGATGCGCCTCAGCCGCAGCAGGTACAGCAGGATGGCCAGCAGCACCACCAGGAAGCAGCCAGAGAACAGGTAGTGGTTGTAGACAAAGGAGACGCCCCGCCAGTGGGTGTGACTGGCCCGGAAGGCCTCCTGCTGGATGTCTCTGCCCAAGTGAACACCAAACAACAAACAAGACAGTAAGCAAGGGAAGGGGTGGAAACAGTGCACAGGGCGATGGCAGAGCCCAGGCCCCAGAGCTGCACACAGAAACTGCAACCCGACCTCTAACTGAACCGAACAGCCCAACGCAGGAGACTTCCAAGTATCAATGAGATAACACATGAAAGTATACTCTGAAGTCATTATAATGTGGGTAACCAAAATCAGAGGAACTTAGAAGAGCCTTGAGGGTTTCGCTGACACACACAAGTCAACGTGGAATCAAACTGCATGCTTGTGATTAGTAATGCCCACGACTCACCATTTTTGCAGTTAACCCGGCCTAAAGTACTACTGAGAAATGCTCAATTAAATGGGGGCAGGGGGAAGCGAATATCTCATCTATCAGATAACCCAACCCGGGTGCTTACCACGGGTCAACTGACAGCAGATCTGCAAACGTGAGTGGGGAAAATGCACATCTTTGTTATACCCAAGCGCTGACTGAAGTTTAGCATTTCTCTGACCATGAATGCAGACAAAACCACTGTTAGCACTGGCAGCACCAGCAACTAACTTTGTTACTAATGAAAATCACAGATCTTTCACGTCACATTATAGTATCATCAGTGCCTCAAAATAGCACTGATGCTCATCACTACACTGAAATTACAGAAAATACTAATTCTGCTGCCAGATCCTGTTATTTAATGTGATAATAAAGAACACATATTACTGTATCACAAACTTGTTTTCTGTAAATTTTTTTTCCCCCAAGATGGGAGTCTTGCCCTGTCACCTAGGCTGGAGTGCAGTGGCATGATCTCAGTTGACTGCAACCTCTGCCTCCTAGGTTCAAGCAATTCTCCAGCCTCAGCCTCATGAATAGCTGGAATTTCAGGCAGGTGCCACCATACCTGACTCATTTCTGTATTTTTAATAGAGATGGGGTTTCACTGTGTTAGCCAGGAGGGTCTCGAACTCCTGACCTTCTGATTTGCTCACCTCGGCTTCCCAAAGTGCTGGGAATCCAGGCGTGAGCCATTGCACCCAGCCCTGTTTTCTGTAATATTTTAATAAGTACTATTTCAATATGATGGTTTCTTCTATAATCCTACGTATTTATGCACGCATTTAAAAACAGGATTTTGAGAAGAGACCTCAGTCATAAAGGTCAAGAACTCCAGAACGGACCTTTTTGCAGGGGTTGGGGAACAGACAGTTGAGAATAACCAAACATGGAGCAGTAGCACTGGAGTGCTGTGTATTATGGGATGGTAGGGTGGGAAGGGAGGAAACCCTTGTGGGGAGTGGGGGAAGACCAAAAGCAAGCATCACTGTCCCCACAATTCTGCTGTAGCTGGCTCTAACAGCAGCACTCCAAACAGCCACAAGCCACAGCTGCCACGAGGCGCTGCAGAAAAGCATCTTTGTGATTCTTGTTACCAAATTCACAGTCCTACCTTAATGGTAGAAAACGGGTCCTGTAGAGGATGGCTCCAAGGGTCCACTGAACCTCCCTGTCATAAACTTGCAAGGCAGTCTTTAGGTTTTTATAGTTGACAGGAAACGAAAAGCCCCGATGAAACACCTCAAACATCCATGCAGACTTGAAGCACTGATACCTACAGATGGTAAGCACGAAGGCCAGTCAGGCTGACTCGCTCTGCCAAGATGGCACCACACACACACAGACCTTCCCTCTGTGGACAGCTGTGGGGCGGGGCGGGGGCTTCCTTAGGCCAGGTCCCCCAAACCAACTGCCTGCGTTTCACATCCCTGGTCCCACAACACGGAGCAGTTCCCCTGTCAAAATCAATTAGGCATGAACCCAGTCTCGGCATAATGTCAGATATTCCTGAGACAGGTTTCTTTTCCCTCAGGCATTTCACCATGTACTCCTTGAATGAATAGCAGGTTCCAATCTTGCACCTCAGTTTATTATAAAATGAGATGGTAGGAAGGTTCTTTTCAGCTGTGATCTTCTACGACGCTAAATATTTATTAGAGATTTATTTTTTGCCAAGCCCTGTGCTAAGCAAGTAATAAGATACATTAATTAATAAGATATAGTGTCTGTCTGCAAGTGACCTACAATGAAAGGGGATTTTTAAAAAGCAACAGAAAAAGCAGAACATGAGAAATGCATTAGCAAGGTAAGATGAATTCTAGAGACTCAGAGAAAGGGATGAAGTCTGACTGAGGGGCAGAGGAACACTGGAAAGGGATGGCATCTGGCTGGACTTAGATGTCTGGGCAGGACTTGAACAAGCAAAGGTATGAACGGGGGAATTTCATCGGGAGGAGACAGTAAAAGTGACCCAAAAAAAGGGGTATGGAATACATCTAGGCACAAGTATTTGTCCCGTCTGAAACGGACCCAGAGCAGATGGGAAGAACAGTGAGTGAGGAGAAGATAGACTGAGGTCAGGGTATGGCAAGCTAGTGGTGCCAACACTGCATTAAGGTTCTAAGAGTGACCTGGGGCTTGGCCTTCTAGTACTTACTTAAGCCTGTGGAGGTCAGCATGAGAGGCATACAGTCCTCGGTCAAAGCGTTCTCGCAAAATGGACCACTTTGTTGCACAATAATCCTAAAAAAACATTAACCAAAAGAAATCACTAGTAAAGTCTTATTAAAATTCTCATTTTAAAAATAATTTACCAAATGTATATTTGTAACAAGCATATCCTTCCCACTAGGAAACACACAAGCTTAACTTACACAATGAATGCAGGACACACACACACTCAGGGAATGCTTACTGATTTGCAAACACAACGCTTTACCTTAACATTCTGCCCAGGGAATTGTTAAGAGAACTTTGCTGTCCACAACCAGCCTCTCTGAAACTGTTTCGTTTCTCCCTCCGTGACTATATAGTATGGGCATACATTTTTGGAAAAGTGAAGCAGTATTTTAGCTACCTCAAACTAAGTCCTCTGTCTGTGGAGGACACAGTACAAGCCACTAAGAAAATGATGATTATAGAAGGTTTTTGTCTTTAACAGAAGGGAAAGAGATCCCACTTTTCCTGAAGTTATTTGTAATACTTGTAGCTTCTACTGAGCACTGTGTAAGTGTGTCTTCTCAATGTAATACTTAACTCCTTGAGGTGGCTACCATCCCGACTTCTATTTAAAGGATGAAGACGCTGCTGAGAGAAGTGGGAGATGGCCCTGGGTGTGTGACAGGGAGCACAAGAGAAACACACCAGGCCTGCGCAAAGGGCTCGGCACAGGTGCTTCAGGAAGAGAAACGGCCGAGGGTGAGGAAAGCCAGCTGTCCGGCACGACTGCAGCCTACAATGCTCTGTGGCTGCATGGCTTTGAGAAACACCTGGGAGCTAAAACATCACACTGTGACTGATTACACTGGGGTGTATAGAAAAGGATGAACTGGTTAGATGGAGAAGTCCATGACTCCTAGGCTGCAGGGAGGGGGACTGGATGGTTGGTGATGCCATTAACCAAGACGGAACAGAATGGAGAGAAAATGGTGGGTTTGTCTGGAGTTGTGGAATGTAGCAGGCAGGGGTCAGGACTGAAGCCTCTTCTTGAGAGACAGCAGCAAATCCTGAGCATGGATGAGACCATCCAAGAACCTGAAGGTCAGGCGCCAAGAGTGGAAGTCTGGCATCACCAAAGTTTAAGGGGTGTCAGGAAGGCAGAGAGAACATGAGAACAGGAGTGTCCTGGCAGGTCAGGGAGGGGGAAGGCTAGCAGAACTGTCAGATGCAGCAAAGCAGAAAAGTGACATAAGAGACTAAAATTTGGAGGTAACTGACGACCAGGGTAGCTAGTAAGTGGGGGCAGAAGTCAGCTTACACTACATTTTTTATTTCTGCTGTGACTATTCAATCTCCCTCCAACCAAAGGGAACAGGATCCCAACATGCTGCAGTGCAGCCTTCCATATGCCGTCTTTCCCTGCAAGAGTGAAGGGAGGACATAACCTGTCTCTGTCCACAATGGTCTCTCAAAAGCATGCAGAGCAGATGGCGCCTCTCAAGGGTACCTTTGCAGCTTTAGTGAACTTAGCAGCATTGTAGTCTCCGCCCATGCGTAACACATCCTCGGTGCAGTAGTAGAATTCAGAAAAGCCATAGAATTCACTGTTCGGGAAGTGAATTGGAGGCTGGTAGATCCCATTGAGGGAAGTCTGGGTCTCGTTTGTTTTATTCATGAAAGGCTGGATAGTCTCTCGACACAGGTCAAAGTCTCCAGTCCCTCGTAGATAAAAGGTTTGTCCATTTTGCTGGATTTCATCTTTAATGTCTAAGGGTAGGCAGGGGTCCAGGTACGGCATATCAGGAGTCAGACCAGTCTGTTTACCCAGGAGCCTATGGCAAAAAAAGAAACTTCACTGTGAGTCCTAAAGAAAACTGTGTTTTGAAGAGGTAGCTGCGAACCACTGTTTCTCAGAATATGCTCTGTGGGCCATGAGACCTGCAGGACTGTGTTAACTGTGTCTGTGGGAACAGAAAAGGGTCTGAGATCATCAATTAGGAAAATAGGCACTCGAGACTTTCTTGGAGAGTTAGGATACAAACCTGCCTGCAGCAGACAGGTTACCTGAGTCCAGTTAAACAACCTATCTGCTTACCTGGCCATCCTGGCAACATGGCCTGATGTTCCCAGATGCCAGGCACAAGGCCATTGCGTTGCTGCCAGCCCCATTTCTGCCACTAGTGCTTGTGGTTTTACCTAATACAGTTGGATGGAATGCGACTGTGAAAATAGCTGGTCCTGGCAAAAGCAGGTCAGATGCTTTAGAAAACATGGCAAGTTACTAGAAAATTGTCAAACTAGGTATGGGCAAGATTTTTAAAACTGGGAAAAATCAGTAAAAGTCTAGATGGATTTGGTATCAAATTGCTTCGCAAATGTCTTTAATTCCTCAGTATTCTTTAAACAAAGACAAACTGGTATCTCCATGAGGAGTGCAGTGCATGCCGGAGAAAAGATGGGAGTCTAAAAACAAACCCCGGGGTTCAGAGCAAAAGATCAGCAAATGAATTCAAAATTTAAGACAGAATGTTTAAGGCCTGCCTCTATTTTTATGATTCTGTTTGAACTTATTTTTTCTTCATCAACTATGAGTCCCAGCTGCAGCAGACAGCAGTTTCCATTGTATGATAGATAGGCTCTGAGAAGCCCTGGAGAAAATAAATGTTAGCTTTGTTAACTGAAAGGCACTTGCTAATGAAATTTCTGGGAATGAACATGTCATTCTATTGTGTGTGCACACCTTCAAGCGACAAGAAACAGAGAAGAACTCACAAAATCTGAAATGATACTGGTGTTGGATGCTATGAAATCACAGGTGCCTGACAGGTGTTTCACTATTAGAGGTAAGCTTGGTCTGACAGTCGTTTTCACTTTTCACTTAAATGACAAGTTGTGTATTCCTCAGATCAGGGCTACTCATCATGCAGCTGAATGTAATAAATTAAGGTCTTTGCCATAAAAATGTTTCCTTAATTTAAAAAAGTTAATCACCGCTACAAACAGCAAAAAGATAAATGTGTACTTCAAGGCTCAGTTCATGGCATATGAAACGTTTGTAATTATTATAAAAGTCTGGCCAGGCATGGTGGCTCACAGCTTTAATCCCAGCATTCTGGGAGGCCGAGGTGGGTGTATCACCTGAGGTTGGGAGTTCAAGACCAGCCTGACCAACATGTAGAAACCCTGTCTCTACTAAAAATACAAAAATCCACCAGGTGTAGCAGCGCATGCCTGTAATCCCAGCTACTTGAGAGGCTGAAGCAGGAGAATCGCTTGAACACGGGAGGCAGAGGTTGCAGTGACCTGAAATTGTGCCATTATACTCTAGCCTGGGCAACAAGAGTGAAACTCCATCTTAAAAAAAAAAAAAAATGAAAAAACACTTCAAGAGTAGTCAGATATGTATTTCATGTTACTACTTTTAGTTGCCTTATATCTAAATTAAGGAGTACCACTAAACAGTCCATTATATAAAGCTTTCTGACATTAAAAGCAGTAAGTAAAAAGTAAGGTTTCAGAATAAGGCGTTCACTGAATCTGCAAAAATGTTTCAAGTGTCGTTTATAAAATATTTCCAGTTTAAGACTACTATAAAAATGATTATATCAAACTGTGCTAAATACCAATTAAAAATAGAAAACCATGGGGCTACCAATCTCATAATTAACACTATTCAGTTAACTTTTGGAAGAGATATAGAAAAAGGTTTTTATTGTTTTTCCTATTCACATACATGACGTTGTGGTAAACGTGGCACTGAATAGCTCCACCTTGGTCTTTTTTAAGGTTTAGGCCTTCACAGCTTTATTAAGATCACATTAATCAAGGACGTATACAATCTCTTCGCTCTGTGAATTAGGATTTTTTCCTCCTCAAAACTGTTTCATCACAATAAACAAATACAACACAGTAATAAATAGGATATCTTACATAACCCCATATTCAGATTTTTTATTGATCTAAATAGCTTTTCTGTTCTTACAGACGAATTTCAAATAAATAACTGCTATATACTTATAAAGTCAATTTAAACCAATACTGTTTTGTTTTATGTATTTTCTATACCACAATTCTACATAGACTCAGTTTTTAAAGTTTTATGGCTAATTTTAAAAGCCACTAACTCTGACTCTTCTAGATAATTTATTTCTCTCGAATAGTTCCCTTCACAATGGTTCCTACCCACTAATTAGCTGCACAGGCTGGTTCATCCATAGTCTCCAGAACATCACAAATTTCAATCTCCTTGTTGCTTCAGCAACAACAAGAGAACACACTTCCTGAGGCCTCCAGGACACCAGCTGTGCTCCAGATCCTGAGTTTCCCAAGGACTCTGAATCAGGGGTAGCATCATCCAGGGCTCCACACTATTCTACAGCCTGATGGTGAAATTTCTAATCCATCAGTTGGAGATGCAGGTGAGAGAGAGAGCAAGCACACACCTCCTTTAGGGCATGGTGGGACAGAAGGCCGAAGGCAGGACCCCATGTGCCTTCATTTTTCCCTGCTCAGCTAGTGGGGGAATAAAAATCTAACAGTGCAACACACTTTTGCTAATTGAGTTCTTCCCGCTTTGCCTGGGTCTGTTTTTCATGAGGAGAGACCTATGTTTGCAAGTGACTGCCAAGTAGTGAAAGGTGCTTTACCTGTTCTTTTGAATGGTGTTGGCAAATATTCTGTCTTCGTACCTCTGTCGAGCAGCATTGCCACCAAACCCAAGAAACGTGGCCACATAGACTCGATAAACATGCTCAGTCTGGTGAACATCACATCCCAAGTTAAATTCAGCTAACAAGTTTTTAGCTACTTCCTCCTGCAGACATAAGGATAACGAACTTTAATAGTTTAAACTACTTTAACCTTCTACCAGAAAGAAGGGTCTGAAAACAGTCTAAGGGGGACAAAATGTCTGCTTCTGCACTGCCCAAGGACCCTTCTGAGCATCCTTCATAATTTAATATGACAATTCTGATTTAGGAAATTTCAGATGGGGTGCAAATTTTTTATACTGTTAGGACTTTTTGAAAGAGGAAGTCAGCGAAATAGTTCATACCCTCTGATGTAATTTATTTATGGAATCCTATGCTGTGAAAATAAATCTAAACATGGATATGTTTCTACATGCAAAGACATCCGTTGTCATTCTATGACAGAAAAAACTAGATGTCATCTAAGTATGTAAGAGCAAGGGAAGGTTAATTACAGTAATCAATACCTTATGGAGAAACATGCTCATGCAATGTTAAATAAAGGACAAAAATCATATAAACTAAGATTATAACCATATTCTTTAAAACTACGAGTAGAAAAAAAAATGAAAAGAAATTCACCAAAAGGCTAACAATGGCTTTTTAAGATGATAAATCCATGGGAAATATTTAATCTTGATTTTTCAGTATTTTTTCCAAACATTCTTTCTATGTATCTTTTACTTTATATTGAGGGGGAAAAACATGATTTTTAACATGTACATAACAGTATCTAGAGGCAAGTCTAGAATGGGAGGTAGGAAACAAAAGTTGTTTGAATTTACAAAGCATTTTTCCAAGGACCTTAATAAAGATGTCAGTAACATTTATTGAGCACATACTAGCTGCCTGGCAGTGCATTAGATATACTGGATGCATTATCTCATTTAAACCTTCTACTAATCCATGGTGTAGGTAGTTTCACTGATGTTTACAGATGAAGAAAACAGCTCAAAGAAGGTACATGACTTGCGTAAGGTCCCACAACTAGTGAGGAGGAGAAGGATGAAGAAACCCAAGCCTGACCAGCTCCAAGGTCTCACTTGGAGCCTCCCCTCTAGGCTATGCTGCCTCCCACCTTCCAGGGGAAAATGCAGGAAGCTAGGCTTTGGTGTCAATTTATAGCTGAACACAAACAGAGTAATAAAGACATGTAGCAATTCAGAAATACATCTGGAAACCGTGCCAGGGTTCTCTAGACAAGGTTGCCCAGGCAGCATCTCAGAGGGCACAAATCAGGGTGAAGAACAGTGGGAGTAAATCCCCACTGAAAGACGTGGCAGCGGTGGATACAAACCTTCATCCTTCCCAAGGAAGCTCGAGTCTGAGCCATTAAAAAAAAGAATTTCCCCCAATTCTAACTGAAAAAATCAGATGTTATTATGTTACACGTTATAAAACCTGTTGAGAAAAGACATGATAGAAGAGAAAATATAAACAGAAACTCAAGCCCGTGACTGTGTATATACCAAAGAAAAACTCTACGGTCAGAAAACAAACCCGCTGATTTCAATGAACACACACAAGCGGCTCAGCTGAGGTCTGCCTTGCTCCTCCTGTCTCCGTTCTCCCGGGCTGAGAGGCGGCACCTCAGCAAGCACAGTAAAGATGTGTTCACACTCAGAAAACAAAACAAGAACGGTGGACACGTGTTAAATGAAAACCAAACCAAACAGAAGGAAATCTGTACAGATAATGACCTGCTGTGAGGACGCAAAGCTTACAGTTTTGGGGACTTCGTACGCTATCTGAGTCGACACGCCACCCATGTCGAGAATGCCCGCTGTCCTTTTACGGACAATGGCTTCGCTGCTTTCACTTCCAGGAATGTTAACTTCCACAACTGCCTCATCATCTGGAAAGAAGAGAAAGTGTTCACTGGAACAGAGCTCATCCAGAGAACTGTGTTCTTCTTTACAGTCACCTTCTTTTCACAGTCTATTTCAAGCACATTCGGGCAAACCCAGTCTATCCTCCCAACTAAAATCAAGTTGAATTGTGTTCAACTGCAGCTCCTCTCATTCTACTCCTACACGCTTAGAAATGTCACAAAGCTTAGCTCTTTTTTCAGCCTATGGATTAAACAGAAAAGCACCGATTTCCAACTAGACACATTCGTTGGAAACATGATACTTACCATCTTCAATATGCTCAAACCGTCCAAGGACAAAATTAATGCCAATCCAAGCATACACACCTATAGACATTTTACAGGGTGGAGAGAAGAAAAACAGTTTAAAAACATTTTGTGTAACTCTTATCAGTGCAGTCTGTACAAACGTCTCATTTATTTCACTCCCTGACAACCCGTAAAATCATCTGAAATAACACCTTGCTACTGATGTTTTTATTACTCCAAAAAGCTTTCCAAGATCTCTCAACTTTAATATTTTAGTTTTATACCATCTACATAGGTTGAAAATATAATACCCTAGGTGCTAGTTTTCTTTTGAAATTTAGTAGTTGTTTTAAAATACTGGAGTTTTCACTTTTATGATGTAAAACCTGTCAAGTCCAAGGTTTTAAAAATTCAAGGTATCAGTGGGATGCGGTGGCTCACACCTGTAATCCCAGCACTTTGGGAGGCTGAGGTGGGTAGATCATGAGGTCAAAAGATTGAGACCATCCTGGCCAACATGGTGAAACCCTGTCTCTACTAAAAATACAAAAATTAGCTGGGTGTGTTGGTGTGCACCTGTAGAACCAGCAACTTGGGAGGCTGAGGCAGGAAAATCATTTGAACTCAGGCAGTGGAGGTTGCAGTGAGCCGAGATTGTGCCAGCAACAGAGTGAGACTCCATCTCAAAAAAAAAAAAAAAAAAAAAAAAAAAAAAAAAAAAAAAAAAAAAAAATCAAGGTATCTTCTACTCTTTCCTTTCTCTCTCCATTCACTCAGCTGCCAAGTCTGATTCTATTTTCACATTCCCTACACCTGGTTTTCATTGTCACCTTGATCTGAACCATGGAGGGAGTAGGATAGCCCATCTAACCTATCCCTGCCCTACTCCTCTGTTGCAACCTGCTCTACCCTCTGCTACTGGATTGATCTACAGAACGAAGTCCAAATTCCTGGACTGACAATTGAAAATCCATCCAACCACTAACATTACTACCACTCCTTCCAGAAGGGCCATCATCCAGTCAAACCAAAACATCTGTGTTCCTCTGTCCACAGTGAATTCTTTCCAACCTGTACTGAGTCCAGTACTTTCTTCTGTCTGGCATGTGCTTCCTATGCTCCCTCAGAGCCCCACCCTTCCCATGCTCTGGCATGTTCTATATAAAACTATCCTTTCTCTTGAGGCACAGTTCAGATGTCACTTTGTCCATCATGGCCCTACTTGGGGGGAAAAAATGTCTCCCTCTTTCAAACTCCTGTGATATTTTTTCCTTATTTTTTTTTCTGGTACCTAAAACCCTCATAGAACAGCTAATTGTGGACCTCAGTTGTCGGTAAGCAGCTTAATGGCAATGTGTGAACTTCACCCCATTTTTGGATTCTCTACAGTGTCTTCCATATAGGAAGTATTAATGCTGGAATGACAGATGACTTTTGAAATACTTTTTGGTATACATTTCTAGCAAGCTGTTCCTCAAATAATTTCATTGACTTGATGTTTCATTCTCAAGGAGAATCACTTCTTTGAAAATAGAACAAATATTTGATATTTCTTGGTGTATCAAAGTCGAGAAGAAGCTCTAACCACTCAATAATGATCAAAGTCAAGGCCCAGGAAGCCACACAACTTAGGCAAGGCACACAGCTTTTTCTATAAAAGTGAGTTTGTATCAAGCTACGTCCCTACATGTGGTGAAGACAAACAGTTATTTTTCAATGGCTTCATATTTGGGCAACAAAAACCAGTCATGTAAGAAACTGGTTCAGTCATTTAAAAATTATAATATTTCCAGGCTATTATTTCCAAATGTTAAGATAACAGGAGTATAACAAAGTGTACACTGGTGAAAGTGGGGAGGATTTAAAGGAATAGCTTCCCAAATTTTAAACTGAAGACCATATACCAACCTTCTTGTTTCCCAGAAATGACTTCTGCATGAGAGTCAGAAAACAGAAAGTCAAAGTGCACAGGGATATCGGTCAGAAGGTCTTCCAAAATGGCTTTCTGCTGGCTATAAGGCAACACAAACATTTACACATCAAAAGATTACAGCTTGAAATCTTCTGGTTAGAAAAGAAAAAAATGAACTATGGCTCCAGTATATCTTGTATCCAACAAGTTCCAAAACAAAGAAATTCATTGGAAAGATTATATTAGGAATGCAGTTTCAAAATGAACAAGTTGTGTGAATTATGGGATTTCTAGATGTAAAACTACAACTGCAAGCATTCCTTCCTTAACCACATAAAACAGATTAGGTTTTTAAAAATGATAACTTTATAATTGACTATTTATAGTCATAAGTCAATTAACAGATATTTGGTGGATTCTGGCTAAAGGAATAGTTCTGGTACTATTCCAGATTTGAAGAAAGAATTCTGAATGTCTTCCTTTTGATGATGATGATGATTGGGAGGAGCGGGGGAGGGAGGAGGACCGGGGAGGAGAACACCCCTTCCCCCTCCAGGAGCCCACCCTCAGCCTTGCCCTTCCATGGAAGATCACCTTTCCGGGAGGATTCTCATTCCAGCCGTGCAGAGAATGTAGAGGGGAGTCTCTTTGTGTTTTGCCCGTGGTACGTGCTCTGCAGCAAAGTTCAATAGTGGAGAAATGTAATCACTGACTTTCTCTGGAGAGGTAGCAAATTCTGAAATGCCTAGAGAAACAGGATACTGTAGTTAAGCAGCAGATATTTTAGCTATAACACGTGATGTTTCGTCAGTGTGGCTAATTTTAGGGAAATCATGCTACACATTACACTTTCTTAGTTTTTCCTATCCCTCTAGCAGCTTCTTCTGCAGACCTTACTGAAATGCTGGTAACACTAAATATTCAGTGCTATGTCCTTTTCTCCTTCATCAAAGCCCACAGACCTGACTGAGCATCTGCTGTGTGTCATTGCCATGCACATGGACTCTTGCCTGCCCTCAAGACACGTGCTCCCCCTCTCCTCAGGTGAGCTCAGTCGCTCCTGAGGCTGCTATCACCAATAGCATGCCATGAATTCTGAATTGTGCCACTGGCCATGCAGAGCTCATTAGCCTCCAGGTGAGCTGGGGTTACTGTCCCCTGGACACTACCCTTGCTTGTCCTCACAGCCACTCCCAACGCATCATGGCAAAATCTGAACCCAACTTTCGCTACAAACCTGCTCTTAGTGCTGGTTACCTCCCTCACAGGCCATCAGCACTGGGCACCCAGTGGCCCAAGCTAGGGTCTCAGATGAAGCGCCTCTCCCTCATCCCAATACGCAAGCTGGGTTTCATAGATTGCCTTTCCCTGGTTCCTCTCCCATGACTTTCCTCCTCATCCCTTTGGACACACTTTCTGCCAGCCTGTCACAACACATCCCACCCTCTGATCCTGACCATCTTCCCGCCAGTCCCCACCCAAAGGATGCCTCTTCAGGCCTCCAGTTCTTTTGTGGCTCAGTACCCTCCAGATAAGGGTTAGCTCTAGAACAACACACCCGGCTCTGCATAACTCACCCACCCTATCTCTTCCCACGTTCCTTCCATTGCTTTCAGCTACAATGAACTAACATTTCCATAATGCACCTTACTGTGGCCTTAGAGCCTTGCTCCTCCACCACCAGGAAGAGTCTTCTCGGTCCACCTCCCTACCCCTTTTACCTGGCTACCTCCTGGATACCCACGCGGCTCCAGCCTCCATGGAAGTCACCCTAACAGAACCCTGAAGATGACTCTCATTAAATTCCATTCTTATTTCCTTTTGCTAGATGTACATTCATTACACCGTATCAAAATTAGCTATTTACTTGCCTGTCTCATTACAACTGAAAACTTCAAGTGCACAAAATGTGTCTGTTCAAATTTATATTCCCAGCACCTAACACAGTGCCTAGCAAATAGCAGGTGCCCATCATATATTTGCTAACTGAGTACATAAATGAGTATTTCTAGGTGTTATTTTGCCTATATTAAAAATGAGGGGGACTTCAGAAGTCTAAAAATTCCTTATTTCACACACATTAGAAAATTACAAACCCAGAAAGATTAAGTGATTTATCACAGGAATTAGCAAAAAATGGACTAAACTGTAAGTCGTTTGACTCCACATACAATACAGTTTCAATGCACTCAGAGCCCTAAACTAGCCAGAATCTATTAAGGAAATTTCTGGAGCCTTGCTGCAATGCTATACATGGACGTCTATGTGTCAGGACAGAGTAGTGCTATAAAAGGGTATTTTGATTTCCATTTCATACACTTTGTATAGTGCAGGATGGACCCCTGTTGTCTGATTTTAATGAGATTCTAGTATATACTCCAGGATGACATTTTATTATAAAAAGATAACTCCAAGGCATGGAAGTTTTCACCTTATTCCATGAGACCCGTTTAGTCACTGATGGGACCTGGCACATGAAGCTAGATGAAATGCAAAATGCTTTATTCTTTTAGACTTCTCATAAACTTTTTATTTGATCAGTATTACTTTAACTCTGCAAATGTTTCTAGATTAGGGATTCATGAAAATTTAAGGGGTAGAAATACATAAAACTAAAACTTAAAAGACAGTCACTAAAACTTAAAGAAAAATTAGTCTTTGTTCATGAAAATTATTCTGATTAAATAATGCTGGTATATAGACGCAGGCTAGGTTCTCTCTCTCTAACCTGAAAAGTGAGGTAGAGACTTGAGATTTTCTGAGTAATATGCTGGTTCCCAGCTGGCCACACATCAAAGGATAATCAACTTGTTGAGGGCTGCCTGAAGGAGGAGGCGGGGTCTGAATTATTCCATGAAGAATGAGGACTGGAGGGATCCTCATTCGGCATGGCTGGGGACTCTTCTATGAGGATGTGCATTTTCTCAGGTTAAACTTAATATACTTTAACATTTTATTTCTCAAATGGGGATAAGCTATAATAATAATTATTTATCAATATTCTCTAATAATTTACAAGATAAATTTCTTGGATTGTTTGCATTTGATATTTTACTATGTAATACATTAGTAAGATGAAATAAAAGTGCTCCATCTCTATTAAGATCTGTGGTCCACTGTTTGAAATCAGTGATGATCAACTATCAAGACATAAAGAGCTTGTTTCAAGGCACTCCCAGTATCTCCCATTCTAAATGCGCCTGACAGAAGCTGCTACCCATGGAAATGGTGAGGATACAGAAAAAACGGCATCACTGATGTAAATTACCTAATAAGGAAGCCAAATCTAAACTTTGACATGTCACACTGGCTTAGAAATTATATCTTTAAAAACTATACATAATTATTAGCTTTAAGTTCTACGGTCACAGTTATCAAATAATCTAGATAACTAGAAATATGTTTGGCCAGCAGTTTTTTAAAATGACAAATATATTCCAATATATTATAGATTTTCATGAGTTATCTGAAATTATCTTGTCATTAAGGATAGAGACCAATGGCAACTAAACAGGAAAAAAACTCTCCATAGTTAATGCCAACTAGCAAACCTCTGAGTAGACACCCTGAGTAAGGCACCATTTTAAATGCTATAGGAGACAAAAAGACATTTTTTTTGTGGATGTTTTATCAAGATGTTAGTCACCCTATGCAAAATGGACAGAAAAGGGAAAACCCATCAGGTCCTGGTGTGAGATGTGATGCAGGGTGATGGCAGTGCAGAAAGGAAACAATATCGAAGACACCACAGAGAATGAAGGGACAGACCCTGGTGACTAGGCAGATATTCTCATTTACATACCAGGTTTTATCTTCATGACCACTGGCTTTCGGTTTTTATCCCTCATTTGCCTGATATCCAACAGATCACGTGGATTGCCATTATGCCTTGGCCAGCAATAGACAAATATTCGAGACCCGCTGCTCCCACAGTCCACCACGATCCCATAGTTCACATTGGGGTTATTGGTGTCTGTAGCTTCAACGTCGGTAACTCGTGCCAGGTACCTTGTATAGAAACACATGCATGCTTTTATTTAGACAGAGAATATCATCTTAAGTCTAACGCAACAAATGCCAAGTCAGAAATTTCTAAGCTATGTAGCAGCACCACTTTAACATTAATGCAACTGAAGAATAATTGAAAAGTCAAAAGAAAACAAAACAAGGAATGATGATAAAGATCATCTAAATCAGATACGCATGCATTTATGGAAGTCCAAACAAGTTCCAAAATGCTAAATTCTATTTCTAAACTACCAACTCAAAAATCACCTTAAAACATATTATGGGAGACACTTATGTATAAATAATTATTCCAGGGCCTCTTATGATATGGATTTGGTAGTTAGCAGTTAACTAGCTTCAAATGGTTTAACTGTTCACGCCATGTTGTATATAGTACAAAATCTAGTTCCTACAGTTCCTTAAATTCCAACCTAAAGCCAAATGTTGTGAAGCCATGAAATGATGGTGCTATGGTCTAAATATCTGTGCCCCCCTGCCCCGAAATTAATACACTGAAGACCTAATCACCAACGCCATGCTATTAGGAAGTGGGGCCTCTGGGAGGTGATTAGTTCATGAGGGCAGAAACCTCAGGGAGCCCCCTCGCCCCTTTCCATCAGCAAGAAGACCTCATCTCAGAACCAGGAATCAGGCCCTCACCACACACAAAACCTATGGGAATCTTGACTGGATTTCCCAACCTCTTAAACAGTGAGAAACAAGCCACCTAGTTTATGGAATTCTGTTCAAGCAGTGTAAAACAGGTAGGACAGAAGGCATGGCTTCTGGTCTGGAAAACAAATGTTTTTATCTCTTACCTTTGAAATTTCTTGTCTCTGGTTAGTCGCCCATATTTATTTCGAATTATGACAACAGAAAAATATAAAAGTGAAACAGCAGCGGCCAGGACACTAATGACAATTATTTGGCGTAAATTGGTGTTCAGAATTCGAGGACACCCCACTGGAGATATGCTAAAATGCCAAGAAGCAGGAAAAAGACAGGAGATGCCAATCCTAAAATTAGAAAGGAAAAGATTTTAAAGCAATCTGCTTCAATGAGGCTTCCCTCACCTGAAGTGATCCTAAAATAAGATATTCGGCTTGCACTACCTGCATTTCCCTACCTGCAGGTATCTGTATACTGACATCCTGCATAGGCAACACAACAGCTACACAACCCATTATCATAAAATTATTTGGATGAGAATTAGGCCCTGATGGTTACTGTGTTTTCCCCTTTTCTTGACAGCATTATGCAGATTTTCTTTTTATCCTGCTTTGTTCCAAAATAGATACAGAATTAGAGACAGCTTACAAGAATAAGTTCAACAACACAAATACATAAATCAATCATAAAAGCGGGTGTAAGGATGATGAGACCAAATGGGAATGCAGTATGGAGAAAGCATGTTGTAAGGTGGGCCTGCTCCAAATGCGACTGAGCATCCTAGTGGCCAAAACATTTCCCATTACACCACAAATACACAAATAGCTCAGAAAGAATACATTTTCTTAACACTGAAATCCATGGAAAATTCCTCTCCGATGACTCCAGTAATGGAGAAAACAGTATTTTAACAACATCCCCATAACAAAGTCAATAAACGAGTTTTCTATGTCCTGAGCTTTTAGAAATATTCCTATAAGACATTTTTGTAAATAATCAGGAACTTTTCCCCTCAATGTATGTCAAGAATGAGAGGCTCATTCTAGAAATATTATTAGGCTTTAAAAAAATTTCACTGCCTTTGGGATGAATTTTATTATTTTACAGTTAATTTCTTTATTTTTCACCTTGAAGAGGGCTTCATGCATTAAAATACCTCACTGGTCCCTGGAAGAAGGTATTAAACAGAAGAACAGCACAACTGCAAACATTTTTCACTTGCAATTTAGATGTTTTTCCCTCAAGACCTGTTTGCGTCACCAAGATGTCATGTTTCATAGTGATTAGGCCCATCACTCACCTCCCCATACTGAAAGGTCAGCGACAAGGCAATGCTCTGGGAGTCAGTCCTTCTCACAAACAATTACAGAAATAATGCTGGGGTCCTCATGGAGTTAGAGCCCTCCTGTTCCAGGAAGTGAGACAAATCACAAAGAGAGCATAATCAAAGAAAACGTTTATGTTCTTTATCATGCGTGTGCTTAAATCCAACAACATATAATGTCTACATGATCCTTGCACCGAAACTGTTGGAAGGGTTTATGCTGAGCAACAGACTTCTAAGTTAATTTCATACTGTCCAATATAGACCAAAATCAAAGGAGGTGATAATTCTCTGGCAGTAGTTAGTGCTCTCTAAGCAAAAGTGTCTGACTCCAAAATATCAGAATTATCAAATGGGCCTTAAATGCCTTATGGTATAAGAGAGACTTAGGGTAGAGGTAGGAGGCGGGCAGAATAAGCTGAATGTGAACCTGAAATATCCGTTCACTTGATAAATGTCTGTTAGACTTCCCTGTTTTGCAGGGGGTAGGGGTTTCGCTCCGTCGCCCAGGCTGGAGTGCAGGGGCACAATCTTGGCTCGCTGCAACCTCTGCCTTCCGGTTTAAAGCAATTCTCCTGCCTCAGCCTCCTAAATAGCTGGGATTACAAGCACCCGCCACCATACCCGGCTAATTTTTGTATTTTTAGTAGAGACAGGGTTTCACCATGTTGGCCAGGCTGGTCTCAAACTCCTGACCTCGTGATCCACCCGCCTTGGCCTCCCAAGTGCTAGGATTACAGGCATGAGCCACTATGCTGGCCTAGACTTCTTTTTCATGTACAAAGCACTGTGCAAGGCACTGTGTCCCTAGTTAGTTCTCTGACTCCATCATTATCACTCCTCCTCCAGCCTCCAGACCTCAAATTGCAGAGCAGACAAGGGCCTTTAGTCAGGGCCTCCTTCCAATCTGCTGAAGCCAGAGGGCAAGCGGTCTCTTTCCTTGGTCACGCAAAGCTGCTTTGCCTCTCAAGACAGCTGTTCCTCTGTTCTGCTTCTGAGCTCTGGAGGAACTCCTGCTCAGGATCCTTTAAGTGTGCCAACCCCGACTACTCTTATGTTTCCAGGATCTCTGTCCTGGCTCACTGTCTTCTAACTACAATCAATACTGAGGCTTCAATGATCAGGTAACTCAAAACTGTCTTTCTCCACCCCATGCTTCTCTCATATGCATCTTCAGAGGCCTATGAGCTATCTCGACTTGAATGTTGCAGAGAACAATGAGAAAGTTCTAAAACTGCACTCCTAACAGCAGCAATCTTCATCCCTTTTTCTCCTAATCTGCTCTGCCCCTGCAGTCCCAATCTTGATCCCACGAAGCTATCCAAATCGGAAACCAGATTCATGCCTGATCCCTCTTCCTTCATCTTCCAAACCTAATTTTTTACTGATTCCTTTAATTTCTCTAACCTCAACTTATCTAAAATCTCTTTCTTTATCAATCTCTGCCTGAGGTCAGGCTCTTATCTCTTGCCTGCTCTACCAAAAGAGCAGCCTCACTCATCTTCTACCTGCAGTCTCAACCAGCGGCCCCACAATGCTGCCTCCCTCTGCACAGATTCTTCCTCTGAAATTGATAGCTCCTACAAAGTCCTAGAGGATCTGACACCTGTTAAGCCTCTGAGCTCATCGTCTACTGTCTCCTCCTTCACACTGCATTCCAGACACGCTGGTGCTCCATGTGGTCTTCAAAAATGCCAGGCACTCTCCAGTCTCAGGGTCTCTCAACTTGTGGCCCCCTCTGCTAGTAAGTAATCTGTATGACTCACTTGTTCACTCCCTTCAGGTCTTTATCCCAATGTCACCTTCTCAAGGAGGACTTCCCTGGTCACCCGATCAATAACTGCAATGCCTACCGCCCCCCACCAGCTCCCTTCCCCAAATGATCTTCTCTCCTTAGCATTTACAAATTTGTTAAATGCTTATATAGTGCTCAATATGTGCCAGGCCTTGCTCCATACATTGTACAAATACTAATTTTGTCCTCCTAATAACTTACAAGACAGGTACTATTATCACAACACTTTACAGATGAGGCAGAGAGGCTAATAAGTTGTCTAAGGTCACACAGCTCCTGGGAGGGAGAGGTGGGATGCAAGCGTTGAGAATCCACTCATCCTTGTCCTCTATCGTGTGTTGCATTTCTTTTTTGTCTCTTCCTCCAGAATGGGAGCTCCCCCAGAGCCAGGTTTTGGTCTGCTCAGTTCAGTGCTACAGCTGCAGCTTTACAGACCCTAGGAAAGGGCTGGCAAAAAGTCAAGTTTTAGAGTTCTGGGACCCAAAAGGGTTAAGACCCTCTATACTAGAGTGATCTTTCCAAAACAAAAGAGAAGCATAACTTCCCATCCCCCAACTTTTATCTCTCACTTAGGAAACAGTCCCAACTACTTAGAATGTAAAAGACGTGGCCGGGCGCGGTGGCTCAAGCCTGTAATCCCAGCACTTTCGGAGGCTGAGGCGGGTGGATCACGAGGTCAAGAGATCGAGACCATCCCGGTCAACATAGTGAAACCCTGTCTCTACTAAAAATACAAAAAATTAGCTGGGCATGGTGGCACATGCCTGTAATCCCAGCTACGCAGGAGGCTGAGGCAGGAGAATTGCCTGAACCCAGGAGGCGGAGGTTGTGGTGAGCCAAGATCACGCCATTGCACTCCAGCCTAGGTAACAAGAGCGAAACTCCGTCTCCAAAAAAAAAAAAAAGAATGTAAAAGACGTCCATCATGATCTAGTCTGGTGCCCTCCACTGAGGTAGCCACTTGCCACGTGTGACTATTTAAAGTAATGAAAATTAAATTAAAAATTGAGTTCCTCAGTTGTCCTAGCCACCTTTCAAGTGCTCAGCAGCCAGTATAGCTTCTGCATTAGCCAGTCCAGACATAAAACACTGATACCATCACAGAAAGTTCTTTGCACAATACTGATCTGGGGCCTTTCTGTCTCATCCCCCGACAGGTCCCTCCTATGCACCCTGGGCTCCAGCCACATGAAACACAAGCTGCAGATCACTGAAATGCCTTGCATTCCTCAGAATCACGCCTGACACAAATCAAGCATGAGTCCTCACTGAGATTCCCCAATCCTCATATCTCCAGAGTATTTGCTTATCACAGCAGTGGGCTCAAGTATTTTACACTTGTAGTTGACTTCCTCACTACATGACAAGCCCCACAAGGGCAGGGACAGCCTCTTATTCTTCTGTTTCCCCAGTGACCAGTGCCACACAAACGATAAGTAACTATTGTCTGTTTCACAAATGGCTGAAAATGGGAGACACAAAGATGAATTACATATAGACCCAGACCTTAAAGAATCTATAGTGCAGTGGAGGAAATAAAACATACACACACAGATATTAGAGAGTAAAAACTATTAATAATGTCTACCTGACAAAGGGGAAAAAAGTCACTCTAATTAGTTCAAGTTTTAATATGGTGTCCATAGTGTACCATGTACCCCAAATCTAGAACAATGTCTGTGATTTAAAAGTTTACACAAAATGTAAAAAGAAAAAAAAACAATTATCTAGACATTTAAATGGATTTTAATGTGTTTTTATAAAATAGCTAGACATGAGTTTAAAAATTGTGTGCTTAAAAAAAAAAAATCCCTCCCCGCTACGAATACACACACCTTGGGATAAGTACTTGTAATGTGCATGTCAAAGAGTAAATGACCTTTACGTATCAAAAGTTCTTCTAAAGAAATAACAGAAAGACTGAACAGAAAAATGAGCAAAGATAATTTGAGGTGATCGAAATAAGACATATAAATAGCTGATAAAATAGACCTATCAGTATTCAGACGAATAGAATAAAAACAGCGATCAGACTGGCAGACATGAAGGCCTGGTGATACTTGGCTGACAGAGGGAAGGAAAAGGTCAGTGATGAGTACTGCTCGGGAGACTCTTGACAGGCACATCACTAACCTTCCGGGGGCACTGGGGTGACACACATGAGCACTTACGTGTGCCTACCCTCTGCTCTACCCACCACACTTCCAGACATTCATCTTAGGAAGTCTTAGGGTAAATTCACTAAAATACTTATAGGATGTCCATATAGTATTGTGTATAGCAGCAAAACACTAATGTCCACTGTGGGTATATTCATGCAATGCAATACAATGTGACTAATACAGGTGATGATACAGATCTATTTACTGACATGAAAAGATAGTCATAAAATATTAAGCAAAAAATATGTCACCATGCATGGGGGGATAAAATGTTAGGAAAGAAGCCAAAATGTTAACAGTGCTTAGTTATTTCTGGGCAATGAGATCAGGTATCACCCTTATTTTCTTCCCTAGGCTTGCCTATATTTTTCAAAGGACATATATTAATGTTATCATCAGAAGACATAACTATTTTTAACAAGCTACATTTGACTGACAGTATCTTGTTTCCAGGATCAAATCCTTTTCTGAACATACTGAGAAAGCCTATCCTAAAAGCCTATTAGGACATAGGAATTCCAATCTGAACATTAAAAAAAAAATCCGCAATACTGTGTGATAGCTGAACTGAGAACCAAAGAAAAGAATGTTTTAGTTAACAGCTTGAAGTCATGGTTAAAGGCAAACTGGTCCTTGAGGAGGAAAGTCAGGACTACGGAGGTCATATGAGAAGTAACAAACCTGACATCAAATTTCAAGGAGTTTGCAGATTGCTAGAGAGAAAATATTAATACCCAGAAAATTATCAACATACTAATTAAAGGCAATGTTAAATTACTCAGATTCTTGTTTTAAGAACTCAGAAGAGCACAGTGAGCACAGTGAAGGCTAGCTTTAGCAGGAAGAGATTCCTTAAGGTGGGAGGTCGATTCTGGATGGGGTGAGAAAGGAGCATACTTCGAAGGGGAAGGTGACTGTGAGAATGATCACAGCACACTTAGGAAACTTCGTGTCATCTGATGTTTGTCTCAGGACTGTTTTTTTTTTTTTAGATATGTGAGGATTTCGATCAAAAGGATAGATATTTTAACTTACAAAACTTGTGTTTAAAAGCAAGAAAATAGGACAGCTTATAACTGCTGAAGCACTGTAATTTTTACTCAGGACAAAAGTACGATGGATTATTGTCCCAAAGTTAACAATATGGTAATCTGATTTTCAAATGTAAACTCCAATTGTCCTTGTAGCTAAGAATCTTTGCACCAGGACTCTGAGAGGCAAATTCTACACTACTACATAAAACTTACATGTTTTAAAAAGGCCTAAATTGTGTTAGACCTAAAAACCAGAGAGATGCATTAACTCTCATGATCTCATCTAGTGGGGCTCTGCTGGGCTGAACGTTCTTTACTGGAATAAAGCCCATGGTCAGGTGTCAATGTCTTTGTCAGTCTCACTGCCAGTTCTACAGACAAAGACAAAAACAATGCAAATCAACCAAAAGAGAAATGGTTCCTCTAATGAAAAAAATATGAGATACAAGGAAGCAGATATTAGTGAACTCTCAAATCACAGGCAAACAAAACCACAGAGAAGTCAGCCTCTGGGAGAGCTTGGCCTCTGAATAAGGAAAGGTGTCATAAGGGAGGGGTACTTCAGCAAAGAATGATTTAAAGATGCCCTCAACCATTCCCGCAGCATTTTGCAGGAAACAACTATCTTTCTGAGAGTGAGTGGCAGATGTGAAGGCTGTGTGTGGCACTGTTACTGAGCTGTGACAAAAAACACCTGAAGGCAACTTGATTCACTCTTAAAGAAGAATGTACATAGTTACATTCATGATCTGTATGTTCTTCAATATTTGTTTTAAACATTTTATTTTTTAACATAAACCCTTAACCTCTTCCTACCTCTCACTATTCATTTGCAAGATTCTGGTTCTCATTTTAAACAGTCTTTTTCTGGTTCTCATTTTAAACAGTCTTTTTCCCGCATCAACTCTGACTTTTCTCAAATTCCAGTTCCACAATCCAAGCTCATTGAAGCCCTGCTACCACAAAATCCAATAAGGACTGTTGATCAACTCTTAACATTTTTACACTTTTCATCCAAGTCTGGGATCGAAATCTTCTGATGCAAACTAATATCACCCTCCAAATTTTCCAAATGTAAGATGAGTATCACCAATCACCACGGACCTGGATTACCTGGCTCTCAGCTTTGATTCCCACTTCCTGTGTTGACATATTTTATCATTCACCAAACCCACAGATTCTTCTTCAGATATCCCGTAAATCTAAAATGACCACAGCAGGCATCACTACCTCAAGACAGATCACTTGTCACCTTCTGCCTTCACTGTGCACGCCATGCTTTGTAAGCACCTCTTCGTAAAACAGGGCCTTCAAAATATGACCAGCTAAGAACCTTCTGGAAGCCCATGGATCAGTACCAAGTTTCCTGTGTGGCATCTGAAACCTTTTCTCCATCAACTGGTTCACCTTATCTCACCAACCTGGCCTCTCATCAGTCCCAGATACCATCTCTCTGCTCCAGTGCCGAGGGTCTCTCACTTCTCTCCCACACAAGCTGTCCCCATGCCTGCCTCAGGCTAGCAGACTTCCTCCCAACCACCGTGTCCTCCTCTCAACATTGCACTTCTTTCAAGGCACAGGCCAACATTTTTCTTTGTCAAGATTTAACCTGTCACACATCCTGATTTTTTCCCACACTTGGAATCATCTCTTTGTTCATGGGTCGTCTATTTTAAATAAACATGCTGAACAAACACGTAGAGAATATAAATCTTCAGATACATTTTTACTTTCATCTCTCCTTCCTAGACGACCAGCTCGTCTACTGACGAGCGAGCCGCAGCAGCTTACTTAGTTTATTTTTCCTTACCCACAAGGGCTGGGTCACACAGGCCCTTGTTTTCCCATTAAGGCTAGAAGAATATGAGCCATAGATTCAATACGCAACAACTATGAGAGATAAATCAATGTTAAGATAAACAGAGAAAAAATTAAACTATACAAATTAGTATTCCATTTTATAATTTATGTCAAATAGAATTAAACAAACAACATCAAATATACAGGTAACACAATATAATTCTTTTAGGCCTCTCTAAAGCTGGATAATTTGGTATTTTCATCACAGACAGCAGAAGACAACAAAGACTGCAATGTGAAATTAACCTGGGCTTTGAGTCTCTCCTTTGAATTCTTCAGTTACCTCTAGTTTACCTTCTAGCCTGAAAGTTCCTGAATTAGAAAGCATCTCTTTGGCTTCCTTAGTGATAAATGTTCTCTGAAAACACTCTGCACCAGGGTTTATCTAACTGAGGTCTGGAAGTACCCTAAGGGTTCTGGGACACATTCGAGACAATCTGAGAATCGTCCCTTTAAAAGGAGTCCCCGCATTACTCAAGCTCAGAATCACTGCTGTATATCATCACTTGACTGCCCAGCTGAGCGCCATTCTTCCAGGAAGAGATCTAACGAGAAATCTTGCAAAAGCAGAGTGAAGCGAAAACAAGACGTGCGAATGTCATCACTGAAAGCGGCAGGCAGGGCCGGCTGCGGCCCGGGTGCAGCATCCTCAGCTGCCGGGCCAGGCTCCGCCCACTCGAGGGCGGGATCCCGCGCGGTCGCCGGAGGCGCGCGACCGCCAGGTGTCCCCCGCCAGGGGCTGGGGGAGCGCGCCGGCCCCCTGGGCTCCCAGGAGCTGGTACCCGGGCTCCCGGATGTGGCCGCGCGGCTGGGGCGGCAGGAATCGGTCCGCGAGGCTGAGCGGGCGGTGGCAGGCGCCCAGTGCAGAGAGGCTAGTCCGCGGCCCGCTCGCCGCAGCTGCCGGCCGCAACGCTCCAACGCACCCGCCGACGCCGACCCCTTCGGCCTCCCCCGCTCCTCTCACCTGCCCCCGGAAGACAGCCTCACCTGCTTGGCCGGCCGGGGCTCCCGGGAGCGGGGGATCGCCAGCGGGCAACATCACGGCCACCGCGGCGAGACAGCAGCAACGGCCGGCCGGCTTCCCGGAGCCGCACCCCCAAACAGCCCCCACCAGCGTCGCGTCACCGCCTGTTTCCGGAGCGCGCACGCTGGCGGCGGGAGCGCGCGCGCTGAGGGGCGGGAGCCGCGCGCGCTGAGGGGCGCGCAGTGCGCCCGACAGCTGATCCTGATCCACGATTGGCGTTCGAGCGCAGGGCTGTTCGGTGCATCCGCGCGGCCGCGCCACCGCGCAGTGCGTGAGAAAAGTGGAAGTGGCGCCACGGAGGCACCCGGTACTGTGGCGTGGTGCTCGTCTGGTCACTAGCGAACCGTACCGTACTTACGACACCGCCGTTTATTTTTCATGAGTGCTCCTAACGGTTATAGAGAACAGCGCTCGTTGCTCAGCTCTTTACATTTTTAAACCATTGCCGGTAACTCTCCCCGTTTCACAGATGGGGAAACGGAGGCTCACACTTACTCAGTCCTCTTGAGATCGCTCACGAATTCGTGAGAGGTAGAGCCTGAATTTCATTCTTGCCCGCCAGTGGCATTTGTTAGAGCCTGCGTTGGGGGAGACAGCCTGCCCCATCCCTCCCCAGCGTACGCAATGGTTATGAGAAGAAAGAAAGTGAAGAGCGGTCCTGAGACTGACCCCATGACCTATACCTAGCTCAAGGCCTCTCTCTTTGAAGATAAATAAATAAACTGCTTTGAAGTTACAGAACTTTGTACTCGAATGCTGGAAGAGACCTTGGGAATCCCGGGTTCCATCCTTTTATAAGGATGAATGCACTGTGGGCCAGAGATAGGAAGTGACCGTCCCACCCAGCCACTTTAAAACTTTTTTAAAAACAAGAGCCCTAGAAACGTCTATTCCGCTCCATTGATCAAGTAAAACAAGCTTAGCCGGAACTGGCAGTTCTATATCTTAACGCAGACTCCTTCTGGGTCCTCCTGGGTCACCTCCTCTTCCTGGATTCAGCTACTGTTCATGGAAGAAACCATGAAGCCACAGAAGGTAAGAGCCAAAGTGACTCTACTGTCTAGCCCCAATCACCTTCTCTTACAGTTAAGAGCCTGGAACCCAGAGGGGTGGGGTGAATTGGCCCAAGACTTCCTGGCGGCAAAAGGGAGCGTAGAACCAATGTTTCTGACTCCACATGACTCCTGCATCAGTGTCTTTTTTTTGACAATCTGTTGCTATAAGAGATTACTTGTTTGGATAATTTACACACTAGAAAACCCTGTGATCCAAGGCCAGCATTGAGAAGCCGAAGCTGGCCACTGATACGTTGTGATTTTTAAGGATAGGCTCCTTTAAAATTACCTGCCTTTCAAAATCCTTACCATTGGAGACACTGGTTGGGGTTATGGTAGCTCTTTCTTTCTTTCTTTCTTTCTTTCTTTCTTTTCTTTTCTTTCTTCCTTTCTTTCTTCTTTCCCTCCCTTCCTCCCTCCCTCCTTTCCTTCTTCTTTCCCTCCCTCCCTCGTTCCTTTCTTTCTTTCTCTCCTTCCCTCCCTCCCACCCTCCCTCCTTTCCTTCCTTCCTTTCCTTCCTTTGCTTGTTTCTTTGTTTTGAGACAGTTTTCGCTCTTGTTGCCCAGGCTAGAGTGCAATGGCGGCGCTATTTGGCTCACTGCAATCTCTGCCTCCCAGGTTCTAGCAATTCTCCTGCCACAGCCTCTTGAGTAGCTGTGATTACAGGCATGCACCACCACACCCAGCTAAATTTATATTTTTAGTAGAGACAGGGTTTCACTGTGTTGGTCAGGCTGGTCTTGAACTCCAGACCTCAGGTTATCTACCTGCCTTGGCCTCCCAGAATGCTGGGATTACAGACATGAGCCACCATGCTCGGCTCTTTTTTTTTTTTTTTTTTTAAGACTGAGTCTCACTCTGTTGCCCAGGCTGGAGTGCAGTGGTGCCATCTCGGCTCACTGCAGCTTCTCTCTCACAGGTTCAAACAATTCTCCTGCCTCAGCCTCCTGAGTAGCTGGGACTACAGGTGAGTGCTGCCACACCCAGCTAATTTTTGTATTTTTAGTAGAGACAGGGTTTCACCACGTTGGCTAGGATGGTCTTGATCACCTGACATTAAAATCCACCCACCTTGGCCTCCCAAAGTTCCGGGATTACAGGTGTGAGCCACTGAGCATGGCCGGGTTATGATAGTCTTTCTTAAGGAGGGCTCTACTGAAATGCCAGAATATGCCGGGCGTGGTGGCTCATACCTGTAATCCTAGCAGTTTGGGAGACCGAGGCAGGTGGATTGCTTGAGGTTAGGAGTATGAGACCAGCCTTAACAATATGGTGAAATCCCATTTCTATTAAAATACAAAAATTAGCCAGGCATGGTGGCTTTTTGTGCCTGTAATCCCAGCTACTCAGGAGGCTCGGACAGGAGAATTGCTTGAACCCAGGAGGCAGAGGTTGCAGTGAGCGGAAATCATGCCACCGCAGTCCAGCCTGGGCAACAGAGTGAGACTCTGTCTCAGAGAGAGAGAGAGAAAAAATGCCAGACTAGTATATATGATCACACCATTCATATTTCCAGATAATTCATATGTAATTGATAAGAGCTAGGAAAGAAAAATATTGGATAATACGAAAACATGTATCTTCGTGTATTACATACTAGGGCTGCAGTGACGAATTGCCCTAAACTGAGTGGCTTAAAGGAGGAGAATTGATTGTCTTCCAGTTCTAGGTGGTGGAAGCCTGAAATCAAGGTGTCAGCAGGGCCGTGCTATCTCTAAAGATCTAGGGGAGGGTCCTTCTTTGCCTCTGCCTAGTTTCTGGTGGCTGCTGGCCATCCTTGGCCTTCCTCAGCTTGTAGAGGCATCACTTTGGTCTCTGCCTTTGTTGTCACGTGGTGTTATCTCTGTGTGTCTGGGTCTCTAAGTTTCTTTCTTCTCATAAGGACACCAGCCATATTAGATTTAAGGCTCACCCTAATCCAGTATGATCTTTTTATTTTTATTTTTTTGAGGAGTCTCACTCCAGCCTGGAGTGCAGTAGCGCGATCTCAGCTCACTGCAACCTCCACCTCCCAGGTTCAAGCGATTCTCCTTCCTCAACTTCTTGAGTAGTTGGAACTACAGGTGTGCGCCAACACACCCCGCTGATTTTTGTATTTTTAGTAGAGATGGGATTATTCTCCCCTCCCCTTCTTTCCTGTGATCCTTGCCTGCTTTCTAGTGAAGTTTTTGCTCTTGTTGGCCAGGTTGGAGTACAGTGGTGCAGTCTTGGCTGACTGCAACCTCCGCCTCCCAGGTTCAAGTGATTCTCCTCTGTCAGCTTCCCAAGTAGCTGGGATTACAGGTGCCCGCCACCATGCCCTGCTATTTTTTTTTTTTGTATTTTTGGTAGAGACAGGGTTTCACCTTGTTGGCAAGGCTGGTCTCGAACTCTTGTCCTCAAACCATCCACCCGCCTTGTCCTCCTAGAGTGCTGGAATTACAGGTGTGAGCCACCGCGCCCGGCCAGATGTGCCTTATTTTCATACCTCTGTGTACCTACAGGTTTCCTTTGCCTGGAATAATCTCCCCTCTTTTGGCTATCTAGAAAACTCACTCCTCAATTTGCCCTTCAGAAGTTGCACTCTCATGAGTTGTTCCATACCCGACTGGTGACAAAGTCTCTCTCCCTCTCGGTGCCATCGTTTGGTATAACTGTTGTTTATCTTTGCTACCATTTTATTCCTCGTGTATTCCTAGCCTGCAACAAACGAGTTCAATTCAACAAACACATATTGTGTGAACAACGTGTGTTACTCTCATGCCCTGCAGAACTAAGAGGACTCGTCTAGCTCCTCCATCAGCAGGAATAGGTTTCACCCTCCTGTTGCAGAGATGCTCCTACCTTTGCCCTGTCTCCAAACTTCTTTCTGTTTAAAATCCATGCTTTATTTTTTTTTTAAGTGTAGATGCTCAATAAAGTCTACTTAAATGGAATTGAATTATATTTCATGTTGTTCATGTGAGGCTGGCAGCTTTATCTGTCAGAATCTTTGGAATTTATATTTTGTTATCCAGAATAGTCAGTATCCTTCTTAGCTTCGAATAGGGTCATTGGCCTACATCTTAGCTTCCATAGCCTCTCCCATTAGACTCTAAGCTCTTTGAAGATGGAGACTATGTAAGTGCCCTCCACAGTGCTTGGCAGTGCTACAAGGTTGCTTAGAGGTTGGCATCCAGGAGGTACTCAAAGCATGTTTGCTAAGTGGTTCGTGAATGGATGAATGATACTAGTTTCTGTCTCGATCAGAGATAGACATCTATGAAGACTGATGGAATCTGGGAGAGAGGTTGTTTCTTGGCTTGCCACCCTGCAAAGTCACTGAAAATTGCAGACAGAAAAGGGAGAGAAAGCAGTGAGTGATCCAGAGATAAGCTTTATCTATCCTCCCAATATTCTGATCCAATGTGACTGTGTGTCAAGCAGGAAAATCCTTAGAGTTTTTGGACTTGGATGGTGCATTTTCCACTAGGATGCTGCAGGTTGAACTCTGTTTTTATATTTTCTTGTCATTTCAGTGGGAATTAGGGAGAAAGAATCGGGTGTGCCTTCTCAATCTAGTATCCTTTTCTGTGATGTCTTCTCTCTCTCTCTCTCCCCTTCTCTTTCCTTTCTTTCTTCTTTTTTCAAGACAGGGTATTCTGCCCAGGCTGGAGTGTAGTGGCATGGTCATAGCTCACCTCAGTCTCTACTTCCCAACGCCCAGCTAACTTTTTTGTATTTTTAGTAGAGACAGGATTTTGCCATGTTAGCCTGACTGGTCTCGAACTCCTGACCTCAGGCGATCTGCTCGATTTGGCCTCCCAAAGTGCTGGGGTTACAGGCATGAGCCACCACGCATAGCATGATCACTTTACATTTTTGCCATTATGACATGCTTCAATTTACAAGAGCAGTGAATATATTTATTTTGGTGCCCTTTCATTACTTGGTGCTTGGGGTGGATCACCTGAGGTCAGTTCAAGAGCAGCCTGGCCAACGTGGTGAAACCCCGTCTCTGCTAAAAAATAAAAAAATTAGTCAGGCATGGTGACAGGTACCTGTAATCTCAGCTACTCGAGAGGCTGAGACAGGAGAATCACTTGAACCCGGGAGGTGGAGTTTGCAC